GAGCTGTTTTAAGTGCTTCTCAGAAAACAAATGTGTTTTAGAGATTTTAGCTGGGACTCCAAGGCAGTGGTCGCCGCCTGCTCCTGCTCATCTCCACGGCCTTTTCGTGTGCAGTTCTTCCTCCCTGCCTTTAAATTATCTAAGGTCCTCAGTACTGTCCTTCCCTGCAGGCAACTTTGCTGGGACAATGGCTGGACCAAGTGGAGACCTGAAATTGGACCCCATAACATATGACCAGATTTATACATTTGTATATTGTAATTATATTGTTTAACTATTTTAAATAAAACTTTTACTTAGTTTTTACTTACTACAAGGAGGACTTTTTTTTATTTCTAGCTCATGCCGTAATGTAAAAATGGCAAGGAGTTATTATACTCATAATTGCAAATTTGTTTAATTAAAAGTGCATTCAGTCATTCTGACACACTTTTAAGCAACTGTGAAAAATAGCTATTATGATCTGTTGGGATGCTGCCTTGAGTGGCTAATAATTTTAGTTAGATGGTGGTTTCGGTTCTTTATCATCACTAAATATGAAAAATAAAGTTAAGCAATCAATAATTATAAAACTTTATATTTGTTTATCAATCGGGCCTTTGCATTATGTTTTTAAAACCAGTTTTCAACCCCACTCCCCAATAAAAATAAAGAAATTGTATCTGTTGAAGTATCACATGGGTGTATTTTGCGGAAAAATAGATCCAAACAGTCCAAAGCAGATAGAAGGCGACTATCTTCCCAGCCATTACTTGCTCTACTGCATTTGACCTCTGAATCCAAAGTCTTTCGAATTAAGGGATTCAAGTCTATTTAAAATTGGTCTCCATTTAAATGGTGTCCCCGTAGAAGGGCTACTCTAAACCTTTTTTTAATGAGGTGAAATTCACATGACGAAAGCAACCATTTTCAAGGGACAATTCAGTGGTATTCAATACATTCACAATACTGTGCGACTGTCACCTCTTTTTGGTTATCCAGTTGCAGGACATTTTCATCACCCCAGACAAACCCCATTCCCATCACACAACTGCTTTCCATTCCCCGCCTCCACCCTGCAGCATCCGGCAACCACTTGTCTGCTGCATTCTGTCTCTTTGGATTTCCATGTTGTGGAACCTTCATATAAAATTGAATCATACAATGTGTGACCTTTTGTGTTTGGCTTCTTTCACTTAGCTTAAGATTTTTGAGTTTTATCTACATTTTAGCATGTATCAATACTTGTTCTTTTAAGGCTGAATAATTTTCCATTGTATATATCCATTTATCTCTCAATGGACATTGTATATATCCATTTATCTCTCAATGGACATTGTGTTATTTCCACCTTTGGCTACTGTGAATAAATAAACATGTATGTAAAAGTGTTTATTTGAGTCCCTGTGTCCTCAATTCTTTGGGGTTTATCCTAATAGAATTGCTGAGTCATTTGGTAATTCTATGTTTGTTTAACTTTTTGAGGAGCTGCCAAACTGTTTTCTATGGTGGCTAAATCATTTTACATTCCCACCTTCATTTTCATTGTACAGGTTTTCAATTTCTCCATATCTTTTCTAAAACTCCCTTTTCCTTCTTCCCTCCCTCCTTCTCTCTCTTCCTGCTTTCTTTTCTTCCTACCCTCTGACCCTCCCTCTGGTCCACTTGCAGGTATGATTTGCTTTTCCATGGTGACTAAATGATCTTTTCATTTGATTATTGGCCATCTATATACCTTTCTTAAGGAAATATCTATTCAAGTCCTTTGAAAACTTTTAAATTGGGTTGTTTGTCCTTTTTTTCTGTTTTCTTTTTTTTTTTAAATTTAGCTCTAGGAGGTCTTTGTATATCCTGGATACTAGCTCCTTATTACTGCAAATTTTTTATTGCCTCTTAACCTCTTGAAGGTTAGGAGTTATTTCCTTTTTTCTCCTTCTTCCTCCCTTTCTCCTTTCTTCCTCCTTTTCTTTCTTATATTAGATTTATTTACATATACTTATCAGAGCATCTGGTTGTTTTAATAACTAGTGAATAGTCTTTCCATGTATTTGTTAGTCATTTGAATTCTTCTCTTAATTCTTCAAGTACTTTGCCCATTTTTTTTTTTTTGTTAGAGTTTTATAAGCAATTAAATGTCTTATATCAAGTGGTTCTCAGACGTACTTTGTATGTACGTTGCTGGTAGAAAAGCACAGTGGAGGAAATGAGAAGTAAGCCATGTGGAAAGGAAGGACGGAATGGGAATTTGTAGCTGGCACACCTGTTTGCAGGGTGATATTTGATGAGCCTTCCATTCTGGACAGGACCTGCATCTTTGTTAATCGAGGTTTTGATTCAGACCCAGAGTCTGCTCCATAGAGTCTAAATACCAGAGGGATCCTGCAAGAGGCACACAGCACTTTGTATGATGATTTGGAAGTCAATGAGCAGTTGATTGGATGATGTAAGTGAATACCAACTAGTTTTTGTCAGTGTTTATGAAATAAGAGATATCAGTCATTTTTAATAGATGACACTGTTTTGCTATTATCTACTGCTTTAAAATCTATTTCATGTAAAAATAATTTTCAAAGCACATCAACTATTGGACATGTATTTTAAAATAGCATCATTTCACTAATTTACAAAAAGCAGTTGCATTTCTTTTTGAGTTTTACAGAAGTGTGATAGGCTTTTGTTGTTGTTTTTAATCAGCATGGATTGGTTTTAAACAGCATCTCCTGTTTGGAGATGTCTAATCAGCATGCCAAAATTCAAAATCATATATAAAATCATACCATTGGATGTAGCTAAGAAAATGGCAGGACTTATCAGGAAGACTAAAAGTAAAAACTCTGTGAGGAAGTGTTGTTCATATGATAGTGAGTTTGAGTTTGACTACAGAACCCTGAGCTTTTGTAGCTAAGGCTTGATGGTATAGTGGGTACCTTTTGGGGTATCCTCCAGGCTCCCAGTGATTTCCCCTTCTCTGTGAACTTCTCTCTCCTGGTCCAGAACAGAGCATTGGGCTATGGCAACTATTTTGTGCAGTGAGGCTTCTTTTCTACAGTCCCTTTCCCCCCACCCCCTATTCCCAGTCTCAGCTGACTGGACTTAGACAGACACTTGACCCATGAAAAGAATTTACAATTAGGGATGACAGAAATTCAGTCTTTCTTTTGACAGAGTTGCCTTTCACGTCTGTTTGCCGTGAGCAAAAAGGCAAAGAATAGCAGTCTATAGAGAAGAGAACCAAACAGATATAGACAGAGAAGTAGAGACGGGAGGCCAAGATGGAGTACAGAGGGCCATCAAGTCTCATTCCTGTGCTTTCCTGGGGCTGGAAGGCACGCCTCACCTCTGGCTTTCTGAAATAAATTTCCCTTCTCCATCAAATCAGCAGAGTAAATTTCTGTTACCCCCAGCAGCCCATCAGAGGCCTCCTGGAAGTACAAGGGGCAGGGGGGCGGTTCTTGTTGATGTCCCCTGAGAGCCTCTTTGTTAATCTAAATGCCTAAGTACTTTCTTTGGCACTTAGGAACTTTCTTTGTTAGCCTAAGTGTCTCTTTCAATCAGTGAGTTATTGCACTGGCACCAGCAGTTCACATGTCCGAGAGAGCTCAGGTAGTGAGCAGAGTGCCTCAGAAACCAAGAAAAGCCACCCCAGGCACCAGATGGTGAGAATTCCATAAAACATATTGGTTAGAAGCAAAGCCTCTTTATCAGATCTTTCCATAAACATTCTCAGAGTGAGCTTCAGGCAAGTGCACAGGGAGACAAATTGACACACACAACCATCGTCCTAGAGCTCAGTGGTGCAAGATACTCCCAAGAGTTTGGCAAACTCATGATGAGGAAGATGAATAAGAGGGATCCAGAGCAGAATGAGGACCTAAGTTAGACTAATGCTTGAATATCAATATCCCCTTCCTCTATATATTACATCCAATTAGGCCTATCTGATGGTGTCTTAATTAACTGCGTAAGAATGAAAGTGAACCTTTCTTAAGGACTTGTTTACTTTGCTCCAGCACTACACTGTCTTTATTCACTAATCTCATTACACCTTTACCACCCTCCTTCAAGACATGCAGTATTCTGGGCTCCCTTTTAGATAGAAGGCAGCTGCAGTAAAGTGTCTCTCCCAAGGAGACACAGCTCCTAAGTGGCAGAGCCAGCATTCAACCCCAGCAGTTTGAGCACAGGACGTGTTCCTACCGAATCACTATAGTGCTTCTAGCATATAGCTTTAATCATTTGTTGGCTTCTTTGGTATCTTTATAGAGACCCAGCTTGAAGGTTGCTATATTAGTTTGCATAATAAATACCTCAGACTGAATGGCTTAAACCACAGAATTTTATTGTCTCACAGTTCTGGAGGCTAGAAGTGTGAGATCAAGGTATCAGCAGGTTTGGTTTCTTTTGAGGGCTCTTTCCTTACCTTGCAGGTGGCTGTCTTCTCCCTGTGTCTTCATATGGTCGTCCCTCTGTATGTGTTGTATCCCAATCTCAATATCCCGATAAGGACATATTGAATTAGGGGCCACCTGTATGATCTCTTTACTTAATTACCTCTGTAAAGACCCTATCTAGTTATAGCCACATTTGGAAGTACTGGGGATTAGGGTGAGGGGCACATTCATCCCACAGCAGCTGCCTATGGGAAAATTAATGAATGTCTCAATTTCAGTCCCAGTCTGATGTCTAAGATGGGCAATGAACACAAGGAGCACCCTTTTGGAAGGGTGACTTCTGCCTGGGGATGCTATACCATACACAGGGAGATGGTGACGTTTGGTCATTCTCCAAGTCTGTATTCTAATACAGGACTTTAAAATAATCATGTTTGTTCTTTTGGGTTAATGAAAAGAGCTTCTTCGGGGACCAGAGACTTGCTTAGAGGTTGTATAAACTAGTAGAGGAGACATAAAACCCGAGGCTTCTCAGAGCAGGCCTCGCTGAGCACTGATCTCTCAGGATTGGGTACTTTGCTAGCATCCAGGAAGCTTGACCCATGCCTCTATTATGTGCTCCCTTTACAGGTTTCAACCATGGTGGTGCCTTCTTCACTTCTAAAGACTTTCTTCTGTTTGCGGCATGTCCAGCTTCCTCAGGAAGGAGGATCTGATTGGTCTATAGAGTCACCACCAGGATGCGGGCCTCTGTTGGACAGAGCTCAGATCACTCATTACTGCATGACCAGCACCCGTTTTTGGTCCATTCATCAGAGGCCTGCTGCTAGGGTCTTGTAGGCTGAACACGGAGACTTATACAAGGGCAGTGAGGGCAACAGGCAATCTGAGCCTTCCCATAGCAGTGCTCAAACTGTCAGGCAGCTTATCTAGCCTGTCCACTACTAGATAAAACATACTTCTTAAGAGTTTTCTCTGAGATGCGTGTGCAATTAAGTTGATTGTTGTAGTAGAAAGAGACCTGCTTTCTAACTCCATCTTCTCTCTCATTTGGACAAGTCAGTTAGCATCTTTGAGCCACTGGTTCATCATCTTAAAAAAAATGGTATAATAACCTTAAAAGTAGTATTGTAAGTTTAAAATGAGATGAAGTTTTTAAAAGTACATTCTAGTGTTTTACAGCAAGGTGATTGGATTTTTAATTTTAACATGTTTTTTTCAGCTTTCTATTTGGCTGCGAGTGTGTTCCCAATGCCTGTTACTGTACCTTTGTACCTTTGTCATGGGAACTATCATTTAACTGGAAGCCATGTTGGTTTCAGTGTATTTGGAATTTGCATGTGAAATGTTATAATGTTTATACTCTACACTTAAAGAACTCCTGAAGATTTGAGTTCATCTGGGATTCATGTCAGACATATTCAGAATATTATTGGAGATTTTCAGGAATGAGAAGTAAATTCTTCTTGCTTACGTAGAGGAGACTGGTCCAAAGTTCATCAGGCCATTGCATAAATGCGCTGTGGGAAACTCTGTGGTGCCTGGAAAGGCCACCTTTTGTTGTGAATTAGGGAATCAGACCTACCTTCCTCTCTTCTTTAATCAGTGTGGTTCCTTATTTGCAAATGGGTCAGTGAGAATAGTGCCAGTGAGATCTCTTGAGGCATAGGGCATTGAAAAAGTATACGTTAAACCCGCAACATTTCACTGACTGACAAGCAAGGTCCTCCCTCAGAACTAGTCTGCCACTCACCATTAAAGATGTGGTCAGAGTCCCTGTGTTGGCGTACCTGTGCTGCCTGTCTGCTGCTTCAGGTCCTAGGTGTCTGGCTTGAACACAGAGGTCTTTGGAAGGTCACCTACTTTCTTGCCCTTGCTTCAAAGCTTTAGTGCCCAAGGGTTACTTACTTACCCTAAGGTAAGTTGTCTCTTTAATCAACTCTCGACTCATCTTAAAGGTTGTATCCCCAAGATAATGTTTAACCTTTTCATGAGTGTGTATCTTTTTCAAGTCTCTTTTTCCTGTGATCCCACATGGGTACTCCTCTTAGGGATGTGTGTGTATGGGTGTCTGTATGAAGTACTGTATTATGTACTGGTGTACTGGGAGGACTGAGGCTCAGAGAGTCTAGCCTACTGGCCTAATGTTACACAGGTGTTAAGTAGTTGTGACAGGACTTAAAGGAGACATAGCAGCTCTACTTTGCTTCATATCTTGCAGAACAACAAATTAAATCTGGAACTTGGCTCACCTCCTTAGTTGAGGCACTAGAATTTTATTTTTCCAGATCAGTGTAATAGACTTTGCTCACATAGTTTGCTCACATAGCTAACTGACAGCAGAGATTTCATGACAAAGTCCCCACTGCCCTGCTTCTAGTACAGGCTGGAGGACAGGTCAACTTCTCTTCCTACTGGAAAGATTACTGTGAGAAGAATAAACAGCTATTTTATAAGATTGTCCTTATTTTCAAAACACCATTCATCTCCCTTGGTGCTCTTCTTACATTGATATGTCATCACAGAATCACAGAGAGGGGAGGTGCACCAACTGATTTTGTTCAACAGGCATCTCTACACTGAACTGTCCATTGCATTTGTATACCAACAGTTCTAAGGACAGCACACTCTCAGGCTGCATTACCTTGGTGCCAAGTGCAGGTAATGAAACCCAGAGAACTAATATAGAAGGTGCTTGCTTATCCAAAATGGTTATCTCTGAGTTACCATGCATACCAAGCACGGATTACCATGTATCGGAGAGTTCAAATACAGAGGCCACCAAGCAGCCTTCACAGGGCAACTCAAGGATCACTTTCCTTAGGAACCCTTTTATGATACCCCTATCCTCCAAAAAGAGTTGTTCATCTTTGGTGTTTACTATGCCTACATGTACATCATCAGAAAGCTGCTAACATTTTATTGCACTTAGTATTTTCATGTCTCTTCCCAGTAAACTATAAACTTAAGGGGGAGGAATTTTGTTTTGCTTAGCTATTTTCCTCAGTGCTTACCATAATGATTGGACAATTACTAAATATTCACTGAATGAATAAAATCCCCTTAGCCAGACCTATGCTGCTACTACTATATACATACCTATGTGTATATCTAAATGTGTATGTATATATAACACATACATACATGTATATATACAGACATATATTTCAGACACATGTAGCTTATCATTTTGCGGGGACAAGTTTATTTCTATAGAAAACAATCCATGTATAGTGCTCTTCTAAATACTATAAGTCAATGTATTTCTGTTTGTTTTTTTAAGTCACTTGTTCATTGTTTAAGCTTTCTCATTGTTTTGATTAAGGACTAATGATAGTTTACTCCAAGATAAAACTGTTACTCTGAAAAAAATTTTTCTCACCTTTTAAAACCTTTTGGAATATTTTGAAAGTCATTTTTTCCCTTAAAAACAGTAATTGAGAGTTGACATTATAGATTATCCTGCATGTGGAATCTAACCCAGCATCTCAGGAAAAACAATGGAAGAGGATTTTTTTAATGTAAGCAAGCCAAAACAAAACTTTCTCCTGTGCCTTTCACTTCAGCTTCTGTTGCAGACCTTGGAGGTCTGCTCTCCAGAATAGAGAGTCATTTGCACAGCTGTAAATAACTTAAGGACAAATTTGAAATGCATTGTACTGTGTTAGGTGCTGATCATTTCAGAGTCCCTTGTGCTGGGGTAGGGCAACCACACAAGGATGGAACCTGTGAGTAAACTTACTGGGTGCATCAAAACCTCCAGAGCCCGATTTATGTGTTCAGAGATCCCTCTGTACCCTCATGATACTCCATGCCCCGGCAGCCTCGATGAATGTATTTGCTCTGGCTCTGATTGAGCATGTCCCTGCAGTGCACGGCATCCTGACATGAACATGGCCTCATCCCAGAGAGACAGGATTGAAGAAGTGACATTAAGGGCTTGGAACTTGAGCTTCAGGAAAAAGCTTTACTACAGCTTTTTAAAGAAATATTTATTTTATGTTAATTTAGGAAATAAATAGCTTCACTCTAGGAAAAACTTTTAACTCCCTTATGATCTATCTTCACAAACCATTTTTTTTTTCCAGAAGGGGGGAGCAAATGTATGAGGTGACACAAAGAACTGAAATAGTAATCCAGCTTTGATCAACACTCCTTGTTATAGTGTTCCCTCTGAAAATGAATTTTAATCGATGAGCGCTACCACAGCACACCGAGGAGCAATTACCTTACATGTGTTTCACTCTGAGCTGTGATTAGAAACAAGATGTGAGAATAGAGGGGCTTAAAACAAATATAAAAAGAAAAATCTCAAATGGGGGCTGATGTGCATGGGCTGTGGGATATTTAATACATATGGAGGCTTGCTCCAGGTAGTGATGCTGACATTCATTCACTCAGTAAACATTTCCCTGCTATTTTGGGCAGTGTTAATGACAGCAGCAGGGTGTTAGCTTATCATGTTCTGCCCTTCTATACAAAGTCAAGGTGACCAACTAGCTCTCATTAAAGCATAAGCTTGAGTTCAGAGGTGTCCTGGTAGCCAGGAGAGATTTGGGATACTAACCCTACACCTTCTCCTTCACTGGATTTCCTTGAGGTTGGGAGCCAGTCTTCAGCATGGATTGCTTGGTACACAGTCTTCAGCCTGACCAATAGTGGAACGTGGGCTCTATTAGTCCAAGATGAGACACAGGGGCCTGGAAAAGGTAATAAAAGACTTGGAATAATTTTACCAGTGAAAGAAAAACTTAAGTGGTTAGGGTCAAGTATTGAGTGGGATTATTGAGAAAGTGAAGACTACTTGGTCCCTGTTAAGGAGAGAAGAAGAGGTTCCTGGCTCCAAGTGCTTGCTGGGACACTTACTAAACCCATGAGAAAGAATGTTCAATTCTTAAGGATATACAGTAAACATATAATGAAAAACCTGCACACCAAGCAGAAATGTTCATTACAACAACCATCTTACAGTGGAGTAAAGCTCAGACAGAGAAGGTTACCCACATTTGTCAGTAAGATGGGATCTCTTCATTATGCCATCACCATTCAGCCGTAGCACAGCCATGCTGGGGCCTGGTCCTTCCTTCCTTAAGGGGCAGCAGCCCTGTGTATTGGTTCCTTTTAACCCTTGTCTTTCAAATGCTGAAAGAATGTCAGCATTTCTATACATATAATCTTAAAAAGCCACTCAGCATGCTTAGCCACATGATTCCCTTGAAAGCATTCTTTTGAGGTGATGCTCTCCCCACAGAAAAGATTGGAGGCTCCAAAGTTTGATCTACTAGTTTTAAACTCAATATCAGTGGCTTGTTTATCTTACGATGTTGTTCCTGAGGCTTCAACCTATATTCCTACTCCCAGTAGGTAGTATAGTTTTTGAATGTTCCGTCTGCAAAAAGATTGAGAGAAGCTAGAATAAGTGGCAGATTTATTATATTGGCCATCCTCTGACTATGTTTACAAACGAGAATAGCTACATACTCCAGATCATTGAGGATTTACCATAATGTAACTTAGAAAATAGACTAAATTAACTCCAATAGTTGACTCAGATCTTATAATTCTGAAGAAGTGGTATTTAAGCACAGAATAGTACCTTACTAAACATCTCTGAATTAAAAACTAAGTGACTTAAATAAGATATCCTCCCCACCTTCAAGGATCCTTAAATTCTTCCGAGATTATTCTGTAAGCCCTTCACCCATCAGTAAATATTAGCAACCTCTGAAACATCAAATGACAGTCATTCTGCCTCTGGAGTAAAATCAAGGACTGATGAGAAAGACAAATACTATATGATTTCACTTATGTGGAATCTAAAAATAATAATAATAAAAAATAATGAACAAACAAAACAGAAACAAACTCATAGATAACAGAACAGACTGATGGTTGCCAGATGGGAGCTGTGATGGGGGAGCTGGGTGAAAAAAGGTGAAGGGATTAAGAAGTACAAATTGGTAGTTAAAAATAGTCACAGGGATGTAAAGTACAGCATAGGGAATATAGTCAATAATATTGTAATAACTATGGTGCCAGGTGGGTACTAAACTTATCAAGAGGGATCACTTCATAAGTTATATAAATGTCTAACTACTATGCTGTACACCTGAAACTAATATAATATTGAATGTCAACTGTAATTGAAAAATTTTTTAAATAAAATAAAGTAAAATCACAGACTACAACAGAGTGCTTTTACCTGCTTGCAGGGAAAATTAAAACAGCCAGAATGTGTTGTAAGTAAGAGGAATTTGGCCAAGGCTCTGGGCCAGTGCGTCTTTTGTTATTTTAGATTTATTCAATTAGAATCACAGGCAAAGTAAATTGAGCTGCATGGCTGATTTGACTATTACCTTGGAAGGGAGTAAAGAGATTAACAAACCCTGAGGGACTAGGGAAGGAGAGTGACAGATTTTTCCCTCTTTCTTTCCCCACACTCTGGCCAGGCTTTACAGATTAATTTATGAAAGACAA